ATTGTCTTAAGCTAACTTAGAGTTTCAAACATGTTTAAATTATTGATATGCATGTGTACTCAGGAAAAAAAAAACATTGAAGCCCTATTATTGGTTTAATTATCTTTTTTCTAACATTTGAAAGAAATTTAACTTTTTATTTGAATCGAAAAAAACCAAAGTTTGTGGGTACAATTTCTTCTTCATACACCTTTTAATCGTTTGACTCAGTTCACAAAGATTAGGATCAACTTAAGCCATTTAAACATCAATAAAATCGAACGATTTATTTATATCAAAATGAAACCTTTTTAAGTGGGTTATCGATATTTACACTTAGAAAACAAGAACAATCAGAAATTGTTGTGTAAGCCGGCGATTGTATCTCATCATGAGTTTTCTAGTACCAAATTAGATGAGCAAATCTCTTGAACTATCAACATAGTGTGACCAACCGATCAATCATAAAGGGGGACCATGGTAGGCAAGTTAGCATTGAAACAATAAGCTTTATTTGATGTTTGATGATGGAGACCTTTATACTTGGGTGGTCCATTGTTGTATGTAGGGTATGGTGCCCTTATCTCTATTCTTTCCAATCACTTTCTGCCATCTTGCATTAGAGTGTTGAGTCATTGTATTTGATTTTTGAGGGATAAATGCACTACTCAATTATATCACCATATGACGTTTGGTTTGTTAGGAATTAAATGCACTACTCAATTTTATATATATATATATATATACATAAATAGACATTATGAATCACGCATAAATAAAAAATGTTAACCAGGAAATATAAAAAAAATATTCCAACAAAAACGTTTTACAAAACTTTTGTTTCAATCACACGGTCACACCCTTAAGTGTCTTTTAGTAAATTTTATTAAATATAAAAATAAAAAGCAAAAATTGATTAATACAATTAAAATCTAGCAAACCAATTTTTAAGAGAGATATAATTAACTGCATTGATCTCGGTTACTACACCATCCACGATTTAAAAAAATTAGGGGCTGTTTGTTTATCTCTTAATAGTTCTATTAAGAGGCGGCATTTGAATCGTTAAGAGGTGAATTTTGTTTGGTCAAAAACAAATCTGTCTCTTAAGGATTCTAAAACCCTCTGAATGATTTTGAATTATAGGTCTCCCTTAACCATTCAACGTTCTAATTCGTTATAAATAAATTACCAAACAATTATATTTTATGTTGCACTATATCATGAGAGCGTATTAATCATTTTGCACTAAAATCATTTAGCAACTTCCAAACGAACTATAGCTCTATTTATAGGGTATTACATGTGAGTGGTATGTAATTAATGGAAATTTTTATAATTTATATGTATTGAAAGAAAATAGATTTTGGCTTAAAAAATTAATATAGATAAACAAAGAAAATAGGCTTGTTACTAGACATATACCATTAAGCATGCAAGTATCGAACTTTGGACCTTCACAAGGGGGGCAAAGGGTGATAGGTGTCTGAGATATGGAGTTGTACTCAATTTATTATTATATTTGGCACATAAAATGCAGGGGCCATGGCCCCATAGCCCCCGCCCCTGTTAGGACTCATTTTGACGTGTGAGCAAACATTATGGTTCATGGTCTCAAATCTAAACTTCCATTCTCTTAGCCCAACTAGGGTTTACACCTTTGCCTTATCGACTCACGTCTTATGAGTTATACCATTCATAGGGTTAATGCATTTCGTCTTCACACCATTTTTTATTTTATTTTAAAACCTCGTTACGCTCTTAAATTTAATTGTATATCTGTACCAGAACTCTATAATGTATAGACTATCAAAGTATGATCTTGTTTTGGACTTTTGATTATAAACACAATTATACAAATTGATTGTATATTTTACTGTCATTATCTACAAACAACATTGTTAATCAGTTAAATACATATGCAGTTTAGGGTTTGAAACAAATCTAAAAAACATATATACAATTTAATCTATGATTTTCGACTCTTATGTTGTACCAAATCATACTACAAACATCCCTAACAATATCTATTGACGTTATACGTATATTTAAATTAAGTCAAATTTGTGACACAAATTTTTACATGTAACATACAGCTTATTAAAAGTTACACAAAAATATCATAGACTAAAACTAAAATAAGAAAATACAAATCAAGAAAAATACAAAAAAAATTATAAATATTGTTTTAAAAAATCAAACAAACATTTTAACCAACAGATTAAAATATTATTTTGGTTCTATTTTAGAAAGTTATTCCCATCTAATATGAATTAAGAGGTAACGTGGGTTAATGAATCCTTATATAATAACATGAATATCGTTACATGCATCTTTTTATATGTTATCGGCATGTTAAATCATGTATTGTAAATTGAAAAAATTGGTCTTAAGAGTATCTCTAATGGTTGTTTGAAGAAAACTTAATCAAGACTTGATCATTGAAATTAATGACTTGAAGATGACTTTTTCTATCAACCACTTTAGGTTTCTCAGGTTTTTAAAAGAGGGATGTGAGAGGTAAAAACAGAGAAAATGTGTATTATGGTGAGACAAAGGCTTTTCTTTTTATATGTTCTTGAGTGAATTACGTTTGGTGGTCCATGTGGTTTGCTCAAATTTTGGATTTGTTCCTTAAAACAAACTATATACACCGGTGGTCCCTAATTTTTCATTTTCATAACACTTATATTTCTTCCACTTAACGACGTTAGTTGACAACTGTTATGAAGAACTAGTCGGTCTTTGAACAAACTATAGGGACCAGAAGTGTAATCTACTCTAAAATTTTAATGTGATTCATCATTTTTTTTAAAAATTTATTAGAAAATTCTTATAGATCTTGTCACAAATCAAATATCTTAAAACAAAATATATATTAAATAAAAATATTTATATTTATTTTATGTGGTTATGGTTTTTCTTAACTGTTTGAATAATCAGTGTTTTTTAATTTTAATTTATAATTTTAATTTTGTTGTTATTTAAACCACAAGAGTGGTGTCTAATTGGTTTGAGTTTGACTTCAAAGATCAAAAGTACCTGAATGTCTCATGTTTAAATCCAAGAAGGAATAAAAATCTTCTTGTGGCTACGAAAGTTCAAATACAGTGACTCCGAGCTATCTACAATACAGGTGGTCGCCCTAGGATTAGTCGGCTCGCATAGCGAGTTGGATATTCAGGTTAATCAAAAAAAATTAATTTGTAGTTTGACTATATATTAATTTCACGCTAACCGAACTTAATTTTTAATATTTTGCTCATGTCTTTCAATTCTCAAACCCAAAACATATGTGACTTTATCTTAACTTTATCTTAATTTACTTTTTTTAAACTTAAGATTTTTTAACTCTATTTTTTTTAATTTAATAGTTTCTAAATAAATATAATTTTTTTAATTTATATGTACTTATTAAATTTGATTTATGATTTTAATAATAAAAAAAACGTGTATCATATCAAATTTTAGAGCAGATTACACTTTTGATTCCTAAAGTTTATTTCAAGATCGATTAGCCCTTCATAAAAGACTGTTAACTAACGTCGTTAAGTGGAAGAGCCATGGATGTAATAAAAATAAAAAGTTAGGAACCAATGTAGGTAGTTTGTTTCAGATACAAAATCTAAAATTTGAACAAACCACTAGTGTAATTCACTTTATATTTTTATTTTCTAAGTTTTTTACATGGATTGACCATTATGAATGCTACAATGTTGATTTGTACGAGGAATAAATTAACAGGTACGGATGAATTTAGCCTACCTATTTACTAAATATACTTTTAACTACTAATTTCTTTTTTATATATATCGACATGAAAACTTGCTTTTTTTTAATTTATGACATAAAATGATTTTAATATAAAGAAAAACGTATATATAGCATTGCTATTTAAAAGATATAAAATATGGTTAATTATGTTATAGTTTAAAATTGAGATCGGTGTAGTGCACATGTGTGAAGGTTTATTTTAGTTGTCAAATGTTTGAATGTTCCCCACGCCTTCAACCCACTTTTAAAAGCCGACACATGTCAATTGGATTTTAAAAATTCATTAACAAAACCTTTTTCTTTTCAAGTAAAATATTAAATGGATGTTTTATATGTAACTCACAGGAATATCTCATTTAAAGATATTTACGTGAACTCGTATAAATAATTTGTAAAGTTGATTCAGATATACATCTTTAAATAATATTTTAAACTTTTCAATGATTCACATATGAATATTTTTTTAACCTTTTGTTTCTTATATTTTTACGATACTTAACATTTTTATTTGAATTTACCCCTATAAATTAAGTCTCTAAATATTTAAGAAAAACTGACCTACCCAGCCATTTTGGATTATCATCTTTACATTTTAGCTAACTTTTTTTTTTTAATTTCTATAAAATAGTTAAGATTCTTCAAGTGCCTCTTTCGCAATTTACAAAATGTATAGCTTATGAATTGGATATGATTCTGTTAGAGTCGACATCTTCCGAAATAGGAACGACAACTAATGGAATGTTCTATTGACTTGTGAGATCCAATAGCTTGTGGAATCTTCTTAGTGGTTTGTGAAATGATCCACCAGAATCATATTTTATTCTTTAAAAGTATATTTTACAAGTTTCCGAAAATGACATTTATAAAATTTTGGTCATTTTGATTAAAACATAAAACTCTACTAAAAATTGTTGGGCTAAAATAGCTAATTTAAATCAATTTCTCAAATATTTAAGAAAAAATGACTAAAATAGTCATTTTTTTTAATCATATACACTTTTTAACCATTTTTAGAATCAAATAATTTATACTAATACTTTATGCATTTGCATAACCTACTTTTAGATTAAAAAAAAAAAAAATTGAATGTTTACACAAATATTGAATGGGTGAACCGGAAACAAAAACGTTGCAGTATAACAGAGTGGGAGGTCCAAGGAAGGTTTTGGGAAATGAAGAAATCTGGTTACTTTCCAGTTTCCACTATCATCAACAATCTCACCCAAACAGTAACCCTCACCCACCTCCATCAATCATCTATTACTACCAACTACTTCAAACTCTACTTCCTACTCTACCACCTGTTTGTCTTCACTCCCAATCACCATTTCTTCATCTGTCAATTCTAATGTTGTGTTTCTGTGGTATTTAATGCATGCCATCTCTCCTCTATAAAATGGCCAACATGTGTGACATACCGGCGACTTGTTCTTCGTCTTCTCCACCGGCAACCACCGATGATATTTCCCTTTTCCTCCGCCAAATCCTACTTAAATCATCATCATCTTCTTCTTCTTGGCCGTCTTTTGCTACCAAACAATTGCAATGTGAAATCCCACCACTACAACCAGTTTATTCATCCGGGTTACCCGTACCAGATCGTATCCCCACCTTCTCTACCTCCAGTGGTGCTTATTTGCCGGCGAATGCGGTGGCGTACGTCTCGTCTTCTTCCGTGGGGACGATAGATAATGATCCGGATGAATATGACTGCGAAAGCGAGGTATTTGTGTGTGCTTTTTTGCTACATTTTGATTGTGAAAGTTATGTGGATTTTTGTTGCGGATTTGATAATACCAGCAAAATTTCATCTATAGAACTTGAAGTTATTTTCCAATGTTTCGGAATCAAATGACATATCAACTCTGGGGAAACGTATTTGCATTAATTGTTAAATGGAACTTAATGTCTTTTTTTTTTATTAATGGAGTAGGAGGGTTTCGAAAATTTGATGGAAGAAATGGCGGAAAAATCTAACCCTCCTCGTAATCCTTCCAAACGAACCAGAGCTGCAGAGGTTCATAATTTGTCAGAGAAGGTTGGCTTCCATTTTCAATTTCTGGTTCATGTGTGTTCTTCATGATTTGGATTTTGATGTCTTAATTGTGTACTGGAGTGGACAGAGGAGGAGGAGCCGGATAAATGAGAAAATGAAGGCGTTGCAGAAACTGATCCCCAATTCAAATAAGGTTAGGGGAATTGGGTATTTTCATTCAACAATCAAGATTTCTTGTTACAGTTTTGTGTATTTGTATTTGTATTTGTATTGATAATGATATGCATCGTTTCTTGTTCTTGATTGGGGCTTTTGATTGATAGACGGATAAGGCTTCCATGTTGGATGAAGCCATTGAATATCTCAAGCAGCTTCAGCTCCGAGTACAGGTATGCACTTCCTGAAACTCATTTATTATGTTATGATATGTCTTAATAGTCAGTAAAGAAATTGTAACATGAGTTAGATGATTTAATTGGATCCTAAGTAAGGGTGCAATTTTGTACCAAATCAAACCAACCAACCAAAATATGTATCAACCATGCCAACTTAATTGGTAGGTATCAAGTACAGTTGGTTGATAGTACAGTACCAAACATGCAAACTTGGTTGGTACACGGTTTTAGAAGACGCAAAATACGGTGTTACCATGGTACCGACTTATTTAATTATTTATTAGTTATTGTATTTTTTGTGTATTAACTTTATCTGTTTCGTTTTAACATTTGAATGTTTGCAAGTTTTATTCTTTGCAATTAAAACCCCTTAAACATCAAATATGTTGCTTGAAAACTCAAAACGTCACTCAAAATTTGATCAAAATGATAGATTTTCATATATGTAACTTGAAGTTGGTACAAAATCAGTACCAACTGAAAAAAGTTGATACCAAGTATAGTAGGTTGGTACCAAGAAAATGACGAGCATTACATGTACGTCTGAATGTCTTGTTGAAGTATGGTCTTATTAACAACATTTGTTTTAAGAGTGGCTTTATATTGTTATCCCACATGTTATATTGTGAATGAGGTTTGGAAAAGTTTTTGTTTTCTGAAATTGGCATTCATGATCGTGTTTGTATTGGTTGAACTCTCTGTTTCGCAAAAACGGGTATTCATGATTATGTTGCTTATAATGCACGACCGTGTTGTGCTTGTTTACTGAAACATTCTTTGGGGGTTGGATTGGCTGGAAATTCATTGTAGACCGAAATTTTGTGTTCTTTCCATATATCCTTCGATTTCTACAAACTTTTCTTTAGCATGTCCAACATTATACTCACACGTAGTATCATTCTTCATTGTAAGTAACGTGTTGATTGATGTTCAGATGTTAACGATGAGGAATGGAATAAACTTGTGTTCAATGTCTGTACCATCTGGAGTTATTCAGCCACGACAACTCCCCCGTTCAAGAATTGGCTTGAACGAAGGAAACAAACCTGCAGACATGGCACCACTGAACCAAGAAATGCACATGAATCCCATGATCAGCCTCCCAATGCATTGCTCCAACCAAAGCCAGCCATCAATCCCTGATTTTTCACATATAATAAATCCGGGACCTTCATCCAGACACGAATCTTCTTTCGGTACTCAACATGGATCATTTGGTTTCCCTAATCCCCCCACGGTAACTTAATTTTCTTAAAGGTTTGTTCTTACTTCATTTTTGATAAAACTAAGGAAAAAGATTTGTATGGATTCCTGTTTCTGTGATTTGCAGGAATTTTGCAGGGAGGGAGTGTTTTCGTGCCACCGGACTGATATAAATAGCAACGAATCCAATTCGTTAGGTGAGTTGTAAAATTTTGTTAAGTGTTATAAGGTTCTATTTGTTTTTTCCTTATCTGTTTTCTTTCTGAAAGTATCTCAAATGGGAGGGAAAGCAAAAGCAAGCAGCCATTCAGCCAAGAATCTGAGGGGGTTCAGCTCAACTAACGAATTCACACCAGGCATTAATTATAAGTCTTGATTTGTATTCTATGTAGTTGCTTACATCCACCAACCAAACCATGGGTTAATTAATACTGTGTAATTGGCTTGTTTGTTTTCAGGGGTTATGAGGATGTAAAGAGGTACAAGAATACCATGAATTTGAGCTTTCCTTTAACTCTTGACTTGGTTTTACTTGTACTACTACTATTAGAAGAACGTTGTGTATATATTTGTTTTGTTATTATGTAGAAATATGATGTTGGAGCTTGACTTTTGAATCTCAAATAGAAAAAAAAACCCTTCAATGTGGGATGTTTGCGGTCCAGTTTGGACGGTCTAACCCTCCAAACTATAAACCAAATCGCAATAGTGGTTCAGGAAATTTTCCAAAAAGTTCGGTAGCAAGTGAATAAATCAATCAAATTGGATCAAAAAAACAGTATGGTTTGAAAAGAAATATAATATCTATATTCAAATTACAAATTCTATTAATATAACATTTTAAAACAAATACTATATCAAATTATAAAAAAAAACATTGAGCTAAGTAGAAGAAAAAGTTAAACAAGTTGGAATTTTGGGCAAACACCGAGAGATTTTGGAATTTTGTTGATTCAGAAACATGGATAATTGAGAAGTGAAAACTAGAAACATAATGTCTTAGATGATCTTTTTTAATTATGCTACAAAAATTACGCCTCCAACATTAAAACTAAATGTAAAGTGTATTTTGGTAGTCGGTTTAACCCAAACCATGCAATAAAACATTTGAACCGAGTGGTTTGACTGTTTTCAAACTCAATTAGACCGTCAGAATACTCAAGTAGTAAAAAATGATTAGGTATGACTTGGTTAAAACCAGTTTGAGAACTTAAACGGATCAAAGGATGAATAACAAAATGTGTATATTTTTGGGTGTTTGTAGAATAATTGGATGAAATATATGATTTTCCAGATGTAATGTCCCTGGTCCTGATCCAGGTCCATGTCCATCTGAAAAGAAAAAAATGATACCCATCGTGCAAGACGGTCCATTTTGACATTTAGGTGAAGCTGAAGGGCCATCTTTGAATTCCACATGATCGTTACGTGTTATATCCAGTCTAAACGTAAACATAGAAAAAGACGGTCCTTCCAATGATTCTATTTTCCTTCAGTTATTATGCTTTGACTTTTGACAAGACTTTTGATTTATAATTCATATTCAAATCAATTTATCTACGCTATATTATAAAGCATTTGACAAAAACTTTTAAAACCCACTGTTTATTAATGCATATTACTTAAACTCAAGATTGCAAGTAAATTATGCGTAAGTACAACTTATTAAAGCTTCATATTTGAATTCGTGTAACTAACTGCAGATAAACATAATCAAATACAAGATAAACATCTCATTTTAAATATAAAAAATCTAAAATATAATTAGGATAATTATTGAATTCTAATAGAATATTTAATTATCATCTTTATAAAATTTATAATATTAAACCAAAAATAAATTATTTCATTATTAAATTTAAATTAAATTATAATAAAAA